GTTTGGTCTCTCAGCTCTAACTCACTATGGATTCAAGTGATTAATAAATGACTCCATGTAAATGTAACCATTAGCCCATGCTAGCAACATCAGAATGACCATGTATATGAACCCAGGTTAAAAAATACACATTTTTTCTTTGAAAACTAATTCACCTTACAACTTGAAAATTGTAAGCAATAAGCCATTATATAACTGTCCAACAACCACATTCAGCAGTTCTATAATCACTGTATGCCATACGACTTGATGGCTTGATTAAAGAGCAATATCACATTTGAATACCACAGAACACGGCTTTTCAAGGAATTTAATGTTCTAAGCAATACAATTTTTTTGGTTTTTTTATTTAGTCAGTGAGCAGCACAAGGTCAAACAGTTAAAACACATGTTTTAGGTGTGTGAGTGTGTTTGTTCAAAGATGGCTATAGAAAGGGTTTCCTAATGGCACAAATGTTAATGTTGGATACCAAAGCCTTCTGGAGCCCCCGACAGCTCCCACAGTAAATGTGGTAGTGTTGGTAGGTGTGAAAGTACAGTGGGTGAGCATGGCACTGTTTTTCACACTAGAAAATCCTACAATTCCTCAGTTTGAAGTGAAAAAAAGCAGTTGGTGACATGGAGTCCTCATGTAGAAGGGCCAGGAGAGGTTTACACCTGCCACGGGCCAACAGGGGGTTGGCAGTGACAGGGATCAAATTTGGGAGAACAGGTAGGAGTAAAAAGAGAAAGCCTACAGGCAAATACACATGGTAGAAGAATGTTATAATGGTGGTTATTAATACTTTTTTTTTTTAATAAATTCAGAATGAGCCAATTCTACTTTATTAAATGCAACACAAATGCACTTGGCTTTTCACCAACCATTCACAACAATCTCACAGAGAGGATGTGTTGAAAACATTAAAAAATTCTCTGGTAAAACTAAGAGAGGATAAACAGCAGACTGCAGCCATTATAACACAGATTCCAACTGGATGCATTTCAAGCCATTATGCACTGTTGGACACTTGCTCTGTGCGTGTGGACATCTCCCACCTTCTCAGTGTCTGTGCTACACTTTATGTTTTAAGTGGCAGAAGTAAGTGTCATCTCTCCACCTCCTCCTCCTCTTCATTTTTCTTCCATTCTCTTCATAAGTGACGCCACTACCCATTGATCTCTATCATTCAGCAGCGGTCTGTGCGGCTTATGACAACAGATTTGGGAGTCTGAGGCTGATGTGCTGCTTTATTGGCCTGCACAAGCCTGAAAAAAGACCTGAGCAATAAATCATCATCATCAGTGTTGCTGTTAAAAGACTAGTTAATGTTATGGTATGGAAAAATGTAACAATAAAGTGAGGAAGAGTGAATGTTGGTTTATGGTTGTCAAGTTGTAACCAAGTCACTCAGCCGTTCCAAACAAATCTACAAAGCAGACATCAGCAGCTCTTTTACAGGGAGTCGTGTATCTCAACATTTATGTACAAAATACTTGGGCTCCAGATTTTTTTGTAGTTAGGCATGACATTTGCTAGAATAGTGTTTCAGAGAAAAATGATGGCGTTTATCTTGTCTCAAACTTCACGCACATAAAAACCACGCTCGTGCGTATGATACGAATGCACTGATCGACTTATGAACGCAAAAGCACACTCGAGAAGGCTGACTTGTACTAAGAAGTCGCCCTACATGCTAGCGAGTAGGATTTCGCGCCCGCAGATACTGGTCTGTGCACTCCTATTAAAGCCAACATGATTATTATGTGTGTCGATTTTGAGACTAAATAAATGATTTTATACTATCAAACAATTTCATACCTTAGCTTATTTGTAATAGATTGAATGTGATAGCGTTTTATAGCATGATGGGGGGTGGGAGGGCGTGGTCTTTTTGCAGCTTGTAATTTAAAATTAAATCTGAATTGTGATTTAGGATCTGGAAACATTCCAACAGCACTGTCTACAAGTCTTACTTGCATAGATAAACGGTTTATTCCAGTGTTCAGTGCTTCCACAGTCATAATGATGTAGTCAAATATTTGTATTTTTAGTCTTAGGATATGTTTTTTAAATGACATCTCAATTTGTAGCAACAATTTGATACACCAAATTTTGTAAGGTGTATTGACTATTTGTATTTGAATGTCCAGTTTGTAAATAAGCAGACTTGCAATACTGATTAAGAGAAACAAAAACTTTTCAGGGATCAAAATCATGAATTGTCATTGTTTTAAATCATGTGCCTTTAAAACAGATGCTTTAAATTATGTCAAAAGGAATACCAAAAGATTTTCATACATTTGAGCAGATTGATCAACTACCCACCACTGTGTTCAAAAATAGAACGATCTCCTGTAATGTTAGCTTGCTACAATTTGTCCTTTGGTGCATGTGGTAAATACACACAGACTGCATGCATATTGAAAAAAGTCAGTCTGAATGTGTCTCTTTGGCTGGCTGTTATTTTCATGACAAACTGCTTCGCTAAACTCGCCTGTCGCTTGGTATAACTATCAACAGTGTAAAGACAAAATGACAATACTGGAATAGAAGTATTTTTTATTGTTACCGTTCTCCAATCAATCTGAGGTGCTTTGAATTGAAAACCAAGCAATGGCCTACAAAGCCTATGAGATAGTCACCATTTGCTGGGAAGGACCAAGTAAGAATACATCATTTAATAATGCTATTCTCCATTTCAGAGAAAAGCTGCATCGTTGGTTGGTCTTTGGATATTTTGTAAAATCAATGTATGTTGTATCTTGAGACACTGATGAGTATACACTGATACTGTCCCTGTGGCACAAAGTTAACAAACCATAACAAGCACCAAGTCCCAGACGGTGACATGTAATTAACATCCTGTCAGTAAAGTCTCAAATCACCAGTTGTATTGTTTCAGTTTTAAATCAAACATCCTGCGGCACAGCTGATATCGCTCACACAAACTCAGACAGTTACCATATGTCACACAGAGATGCTGGTTTTGATTCTGATTACTGTTGGTCTGATGTGTGACAGTATACAGTACAGTTAGTGCCGCTTCACAGCATGGATCGTATGCATCTGTTGGTTGTAGAATTGCATGCTGATACATTTATGTTGGATTTCTACTCATCATTGTACTTGGACTTCATGCTCACAATGTTTAATACAGAGTGGTTCTCAACCTTTTTTGCTTCAAAACACAAAAAAACACAAATACTTCGATTATCCGTTTTGAACTGGGAAACAAACGGTAAATTAGAGGCTACAAGCATTCACATTGTAAATGTCGGTAAACCAATATTGCATAAATGCAATGATCTGCAACACAAACTGCATGATTGCACAACCAGAGCCTATACCTAAGGTGTTGAGAACTATGTACAGTATTTATTTGAAAATGTAATGATATGCAATACTTTTTTTATAGAATTTGATGATACTAGAAACTACTGTGGAATTTGCACAAAATTGTGAATTTTTTGTCTGTGATGTTACTGCTTCAAATGAATTCCCTGAAACTGCTGACACTGTACTATGTTGTTTGTTTTCTGTACTGTGCTTTAAAAAAAATACAAAAAAACAACTAAAAATATATCTTGTTAACGTTTGAGGTTTTTGTGAAAACCTGTGGGAGGTTTTTAAATGTAACTGTTGAATAAGCTTCAATCTGTAGATGAATCGTTTGCTGATTCAATAGCCTGGTGTCAGTGTGCATGTCATAATAACATAAGTGGCGTTTGCAGGGATTTTTACTGGCATGGTTTTCTGCCCTCTTTTCAAGTCCTGTTGAACTTTTAATGCAATAAAGACGATTTTGATCATCAAAACAGTAAAGTGGTCTTTATGCATTTTCAACATCCCACCAAACACTTCTTCAAATTAATACAAGCCCATAGTCTTATTTATTTGTTCATTTATTTTTTTATATTTTACATCATCTCTTACCACACGCAAAGATCAGAATACACCTAAATATACTTTAAGAAACCACAAAATGTTATCGTACTCATTCTGCAGAATGGTCTATTTTAGCATATTGGATATTATATCACTGGATTATCACTGCAAGGTTACTGATAAAAGTGGGACTAATTTGATTTATTTCAAGAGGCTGAATTCGGGATCAATACAACCTTATCTTAAATTAATCCATCATAATAAATTGTTCTTTATTTGTTGGTTAGTATATATTCTGCAAAGATTTAGCAACCGTATCTGTTTAACAGTGGATTGAAAAGTTCAACATTTGCATTTGAAGTACAAGAATAAAGTGGCATGAAATGGAAAGACGAAATGTACAAGTACCTCTGCAGAATTATTCCTAATTGTGGTGCTTGAGTAAATGTGCTTACCTACTGACACCACAAGAGAAGGAGCTTTCAGCAGCCAGTTAATTAGGTGAGTACAGACCAACGTCAGATATTGCAAATAATAGAAAACAAGAAGTAGTGCTGGGAAAGTGAATAAAATGAAACATTTAAAAGGTTGATTCAAGTTGAAATAAATAGGGAACTACATTAAAAATAAGTAAAATAAATCACTGAGATATGAGAAGATTTGGATGGAACACTCCAGTTTATTATAACCCACATTGTCCTCTTGTTTGTTAAAAATAGTTGTTGCATTGTTTTCTGTATCTCTTTCCAGGCCTGTTATGTGGTTTTTCCTTCCAGTTCCAGAGGTGTTTATGTGGAGCTGTGGGCCCATTACACTTCATGTTTATCTCAGATGCTGTTAAATTTTGTGTTGGAGGACGGAGCGGGGCTGCTGTACATCTGTGCATAAACCATTAGCTTTATGGTTAAGGCTGGAGCACAGGATACTCCTGGCTTCCCCCAGTGAAAATGCTCAGCTGTGGACACCACTGTCTGTCTGTGCTGGATTTATTCATCCAAGCTCGACTTTTTGTTTATTCACTCATCTTTGCTGTTGTGCTTCAACTCGAGCTCAGAGCGTCACCGGGAACGCGCGGCGCGTCCACACAGAAGGGCGGAAGGAGGAGGAGGAGGAGGAGGAGGGTGGTGGTGGTGGTGGGGAACACGGGGGATGAAAATGATGGCGACCGATGCGGAGGAGATAAGAACCCACACGAGCCCCCGCCCCGTCCCCGACAGCAGCCTCAGCACTGTGCCCATCAAAATCAGGCGGAGGCAGCAGGAGAGTCAGTGGAGGCTGCGGTTCATTTACCTGCAGTGCTGTGAGTACCCACACACCACCACCACCACGCTGCAGGCGACACGGTCCGAAAACACAGAGACGCGGCGCCACCTTCGCACCTCGACCCGCAACTGTCCCGTCAGCACGGAGCGAAGGGAGACAAACACGTAACCCGTGACATTGTTAAAGAGCGAACACCTCCATTTAACCTGTTATTGGAGCGGCGGCGGACCCGGATGAACGCACGTGACAAACACGCATATGGAGCACGCGCAAATTCCCCTCGTGAATAAATAAGCGTGCATGCAGATTTACTGCGGTGCATGGAGATGAATGAGCTGCCCTGCTTCACCACACAGTAACTCCAGTGATTCGATGCATGGTTGTATTCGACATGCATTCAGAGAACACAGTGCTTAAGCTGCTTCAGACTGAAACTCTTTGTGTCTTCCTACAATTTGTCATGTTTAGAAAAAGATGACATTTTGTTAAAGTGAGTGCTTGTTTGTACCTTGTTAGCAGATATAGTTGTGTTGAGTTGTCCACTTTTCTAATGTTCCACAATTAGTTTTTTGCTAATATTAAAGTTTAGCGGGGCTGTTAATTTATTTATTCTTTTGAATCTCCTTATTCAACTCACTTTCTATGGCTATTTTTGTGATAAGCTACACTCCATTTAGCTACTTAGCCCACTGCTTTTATTGTCTTTAGCTTTATCTACAATATTTTTGTTTAGTTGAGGTGATGCAATATTAGCAATAATAATATTTGAGTAAATATAGCGAACTCTGGATAATGGAGGTCCTCAAAGTACTTTGCTTCCCTGAGCTGAATGAGACTGCTGGATACAGGCGACTGTGCTGGTCAGAAAACATTCAAGCATGTCAACGCCCAGACATTTGATCGTTATGTGGTGTTGTCACCACAATATGCATACAAATATTCACGTTACCTGTCACATTGATAAAGAACAATACCTCCATTAGTGTTATTGTAGAGAGTGAATGAACACATGTGACAAACAAACATATGGTCCTGGTGGTTGTTCACCAAAACTGATGAAGTGGCGTCAACAAATAAGTGAATACATGAATAACTAGTTATTTTCCTGCAATGCAGTTGAGATAAATGAGCTGCCCAACCTCACCAAACACTAACTTCAGTTCATCATTTGGATTCATCATTAAATACTCCATACATTCAAGAGAAGCAGTGCTTTACCTACTTCAGACTTAAACCTTTTATATTGTGTATGCTGTGTCTGTGATTCCCATAATTTGTCAGGTTTAGAAAATAAGGACATTGTGTTGAAGTAGGAGCTGTTTTTACCGTGTTAGCAATAGGAGTTGAATACACCTTACGGTGATACTTGGACAYGTCATCAGTGAAGAACCGAGGGTCATAGGGTGTTTCGGGTCTTTGAATCTTCATACACCCTCTCCTGGGCGACCCAGCCGGGGTCGATCAGTCCCCGGCTTGTGTCCAAGTGGCGCGTTGTTCCACGAATCCCCCCTGTGGATCCACAGCCACCTTGAGGCTCTCTCCGCGGCCTCTAGTGTGTTCTTGGTGGCTCTTTTGGTGTGCAGACCGTTTGCTCCAAGGAGTTTGAGGGTTCGTGCCAGTGACTGGCCAGCAAAGCCACGGCACCCAACCTCAACTATATAATAGTTGCATTAAATGTTCTGCTTTTCTAGTATTCTCCAACACGTTAATATTGTTACATTATTAGGCCATTTGTTTAAATAGTCTGATAAATGTTGTAAACAATTAGCTTCACTGCTTTTATAGTTTCTATGACTTTATCCAGAATACTTTTGTTTTGTTGAGGTGTTACTTTTATGAAATAGTGACAACAGTGAAATATTGAGGAAATATAGCTAGCTCCTTACAGACTGGAGGTCAGTAAATTAGATGATTGAGATTGTTGGTAACTGATGTAAAATAATTACGACGTGAATGATTAAAGCACCTTTACCGCAGCTGGTCAGTGGGTTGGAAGTAGAAGACATTATAAAGACATGATAAAAACTGTCCTCCTCTAAAGAATGAGGTCATGGGTCATCTGTACTCGCATCATATTACGAGGCATATTCTGTTTTATTGTTAGACGACCTTTAGCGGCTTTTATTTCCAGAGCATAGGTTATGTGGTATAAAGAGTGATTGAGTCGACTGTAGGAAGACATAGAGGTGGATGGATGGGTAGATGAAGTAGGACTTTCACACAGGAGCCTGTTTTTGTATCTTGTGCATATCTAAAAAATTTGCAATGTTTATTTTATCCATGATGCTTTCAAAAAGAGGGAGTTTTTTCCTCTCCACAGTCGCCTGTGCTTGCTCATTGTGGGAACTGTTGGGTTTCTCTATGTTAATATTGTTTTAAGGTCTTGACCTTTAAATGTAAAGTGCCTTGAGATAATGTAAATTATGAATTGGCGCTATATAAATAAAATTGAATTGAATTGAATTGAAAACATTAAATGTGTTTTTACTATTAAAATATGGTGATGAAAGTTAGAGGACCGACCTTGAGGATGTATTTATTCTAACTCAAACCATGATCTGTTCCTCAGCCTAACCAAGAAGTTTTTGACTGATGATTCAGAGAAAATATATATGCTGAAGTCGTTCATGGTTGTTTTATCAATCTGACCCACAAATCACATGATTATCTTTGCTCATGGCTCCTCGGGGTGTTCCCTCCCTGCTCCTCATTCCTTTTCTGGAATAGTTAAGGATCAATTCAGGACTGAGGTAAAAGTAACGATCAAATAAGAGATTTGGAATATTTCACTGTCATGGTTTGCTGGGATGATGAATAGAATAAAGCCGTTATTAATGCTGATAGTAACGCTTGTGCTTTCCTTCTGTCTCCTGTGAACAAGCCCTGTAGTTGTATTGTTGCAACTCATCTCATTAATTCTTCCAATGCTTTGTGCAATATGCAGTTATTTGATTGGTTTTCCTTTATAATATGAAGCACCAGGTACAATTTTCAATCACATAGCCAAGTGTGACGTCTTAAAGGTACAGTGTGTAGACTTTAGGAATAGAAATACTCTTCACCCTGACCATCTGTTCTTGCTCTATGTAACTTTGGTGAGCAGGTACAATCTCCTTTGTGAAGTGTGTCACTGAAATACATGATATTATCATGATGAAATGATATGATATATGATATGATGAGTATATGAGTTGCAAATTGAATTGCCAGAAAAAAGCCCAGCAAGTTCAAAAGTAATGCTGAACTCGAATTGCGTTGAAAACTTCCTACTACTAGGGCTGGGCGATAAAACGATTAAGATGAGATAATTATTCTAGCGGTTTTCCAGTTCTGAATAATTACAACCAGTGCTGCTTCAGGACAGATGCACCTTAAAGGTCCGGTCGTCCGAGTCTCTGTCAGAGTCTGTTTCGTCCTCACTCCCCCTCTGACCTGTGCTCACTCTACACTTTAACATTAAACACCATCACTGATCACAAGTTATTAGGACACGCACAGGACTGATGTTTACTTTGTGTTTGTTTGATTCCCTCTAGAGGTTGAGTCACTTTTAAACCTGCTACACAACACGTGACGTGACATGCACAGTCAGGACATCAGGGTTAAAGTGATATGATTGAAATATGATTTCAGCAGGTTTTTATAAAGATCATTTCTAAGTGTGAGTGATTAGAAAACATCAGAGGAGTCAGTTGTTGACCAGCAGAGTAATGCACCTCAGTGCAGTGGTGCTGATTCGTTTTATATTGTGATATATATCAAAAATCGACTGATATAAAAAAAGAATAATCGTGATAAGATTGTTTTGCCATATAGCCCAGCCCTACCTATCTATGTGGTTAGAGGTCTTGTCAACAGATTGATAGGTTTCTCTTCTCTTAAAACCCAAAATAATTAATCATCACGTGTGGCTGCAGAGAGCACCGTTAGTAAATGTTTCTTAGTGTTGCTTTAACACTAAATAACATTCACTGAGCCACTTTAAAATTAAAGAGTCTTGTTTTTTCTAACTTATATCAAAGATGTTCATTATGTTATCATAAAAAAGATTCTGGAAATTGTCTCATCTTAGATGACTAGTGCAGCGCTCGTTCTAAACCTCCCTGTTTGAAATGTGCTGTTTGCTTGTTTGCTGGCTGCGGCTTTCTTCCTCTTGAAACTGTAAGTGACCTGCAGAAATTTAGCTGAGGCAAGTAAAGACCTGCTGCAGGACTCAGTCCACAGAACACTGAAGATGCAACACTGCTGCTGCACATAGAGCCGTCCACCTGTTCGTTCAAAATTTGATGAAGCTTGACCCAGTATGCAGAACCCTGAACTGCATGGAGAATCACTAATGAGTTGTTGCTGTTGTCGTGAATGAGTCCCAGCTGATGCTACCACAGAGCATTGGTCGTCTGTTTATGCAAAGTTTATTAATATTGAATGTATTGCATGTTCAGTTCGCACCAAATTAAACACAGCACTTCCTTGGGCCTTTGACCATAGTGTGGAACCAATAGGATGGACGGTTCTTAAGATATGTGAGCCAGTCAGATAGAGAGAGATTTCTGTAAGAAGTAGGTAAATGGAAGCAGAGGGTATTTGTCATTTAATGTGTTTTCCATGATGCCATCTCATTGTTATAATTCTGTCTCTGTAACGCAAGTTATTGAGTCATTATATTACATGCCCTGGTAGCCATGAGAACACAGACAATATGAAAAAGATTATAATGACATTTCTAATTACTGATGCCATATGTCCCGCAGCCATCTTTAGAGGGTTGGTGGAAGAACACAGAGGAGGATTGATATCAGAGTGAAAAATGGTCACGCTGATTTAAAATGACAGCTTATTTCTAGTGATGATGGGAGGTCTGTGGAGTGCAAGTGATGGATTTGAATGTGACGGAAAAGTGACCCGCCTCGTCAATACAACCATCAGCGTGTGATGTCAGAGGGGCTGGTTGATGGCTCTAGTTGTCATCACAGAAAATGGTCTCACAGCTGTCGTACAGTAGATGATTGTACTATGAAAATATGTAGTGAGTGTCTT